ATTGCAATGACTTGTCCAGCAGGTTACCAGAAGTCAGAGGCATGTATCTATCTATCTATCTATCTATCTATCTATCTATCTATCTATCTATCTATCTATCTATCTATCTATCTATCTATCTATCTATCTATCTATNTCTATCTATCTATCTATCTATCTATCTATCTATCTATCTATCTATCTATCTATCTATCTATCTATCTATCTATCTATCTATCTATCTATGAGAAAAGTAGCATCACACGAGCAGGACAGGGATTTTTGAGGCTTGTAGTTCCTACAGGACCCAAAAAGGGATGTGGTGGCTCAGTGGCTAAGATGCTGAGCTTGTTGATCAGAAAGGTCCGCAGTTCAGTGGTTTGAATCCCTAGTGCCACGTAATGGAGTGAGCTCCTGTTACTTGTCCTAGCTTTTGCCAACCTAGCAGTTCAAAAAGCACGTAAAAAATACAAGTAGAAAAAAAGGGAATCACCTTTGATGGGAAGGTAACAGCGTTCCGTGCGCCTTCGGCATTTAGTCATGCCAGCCACATGACCACAGAGACGTCTTTGGACAGTGCTGGTTCTTTGAAACAGAGATGAGCACTGCCCCCTAGAGTTGGGAACAACTAGCTCATATGTGCAAGGGGAACCTTTAAGACTTAGTGAATACTAGATGGGAGAAATCGTCTTTAAGATAATAAAGACATGAACTTGAATTAAAGGATACTCTGGCAGAGTTTGCACATTTAAATATGAGGAGCTTAAATCACTTCACTTTATTTTAATCATTCACTTTGACACAGTGAGGGTCCCCCCCCCCCATACTCCAAAGCGGTCTGGTGAGAGATTAGAGCTGTCACTGGAGACTGATAGGAAATTAAAGGTCCCTGGGATGAAGTGCAGGTGAGAACTTATTACACTAAGAGTTTTTGGGGCAGAAAAAATGTCCAGGTGAAATGGCCAAGGGTAAGTCATCTTGTTATAACTGCTTTGCAGCATCAAAAATGAATGAGAGTTAGGCAGCAGACAATTGAGATTTAGATCAGGTGAATTTTATTGCTGCCCCATTTGCATGTCATTGTTTAAAGCCCAGTGATGCTATTTCAGCTATTTCATTGTCACTGATATTTTTTCTTCTTTCTTTAGCTTGTGGAAGGAACAAGGCAAAGAACAGTTCTGAAGCCCATCCAAGTAGGAACTGCTGCAAAGGATGATCAAAATGCAGAGGAAACAAATAGCAATGACCCCATATTTTCTCACTTGAATGATGTGATCACAAAGCACTTGGGAAAAGAACATAAATATTTAGTTACAGTAGAAAGACCCCATTCTCCCATTAATGTAAGACAAGAGTTTATGTAGACACTGGCACAAATAGCTTTGTGCATAACAGAATATGCATAACAATCCAGAATGCATTAGTCATTCTTTTGATTGACTCTACGTATCTCATCTTAGGTCATTGTAGGAACTCAAATATGATTTATAAAATAAAGTGGAATCCTGATGCTTATTTAGGAGCCATCCAGGAAGGTAACATTAAAAAAGTTTGCCTAGATTAACTCGAACATGATATTAAGATTAGTATATTTGGTTGAAACTCCTTACAAAGCAGGGACATGCAGTCACTAGAGGCAAGGGAGGCATGGCCTCACCAGTCATGAGGAAAAGGAAAGAATTTTAAAGAGTTTTTTAAAATAATTAAAGCCAAGGTAGTTGCTGCCAGATTCACAGTGACTTGGAACAGGGCTTTGTGTTAACCATAGGAGGAGGCCAGAGAACTAGGGGCCTCTTTTGCATAAGGAATTTTTCACCTTTTAAGAGTTAAGCAAGGGTTAATAAGCAAAAAATTCCTTATGCAAATGAGGCACTTGTTCTCTCGTCTCCTGTAGAGGGCATTTTTAGAGGCTTTTTAGAGTTCTCTGGGAGCAACTAGCTCAGTCTGACAGAGCTCTGGCCTTTCATGAGGGGAGGGCAGGGCAGGGCAGGGAGAAGCAGAGTTGAAATCGTTTCTGAAACAGCTGGAAAAGGTGCATGTGGGGAGGGGGGAGGAATTAAAAAAGTTTGATTGGAAGGCAGCACGGGAGGGAGGGTATGGCAGAGGAGCTGCTTTCAAGCCTTTGGAAAATATATCCAATCCAACTTCTGTGTTTGTGTTTGAGAGTGAGTGAATGAGAGAGGGATCCAAGTTCTCTGTGTGCATGTGTCTGTTTGAGAGAGGGGGGAGGGAGGGAGAGAGGGAGGAAGGAGGGGGAGGGAGAAGAAAAAGAATGGGAAAACTTATTTTGCAAGGGGGAAAAATGCTGTCACTTTAAATCGGAACTGAGCATGCCTGGCTGTGGAATTCTGGGAGTTGAAGTCCACAAGTCTAAAAAGTGTCTCACCAGGCCTAAGGCTGACCGCACATCACTGTTACAAAGTATATAAGAAGTCCCTCTAATCTGGCTCTACATCTCTTTATGTTTTCCTCTGCCATTTTCAATATTACTACTTGGCTAAAAAAAAAAATCTGCCCTTGTGTCTGAATACACTTCTAGTATTATCAGACTAAGAAATATCAACTTTTATTACAAACACTGGCTCTTCAAAACATGTGCCCTCATTAAAATATACAAATTGACTGGTCTAGGCACATGTCTAATGGACAATGTTTGTTTTTAGCAGAAAGTAGTATCTTGTCTTGAAACCAGAGTTACAGACTTATATATAGCTAAATCAATATTTTAAATGTCAATAGCATATAAGACCCTTATGGAGAAGATGGGGGAAAGGAGCCTTCAGGTGCTCTGTGGTCACATGCTTCAAATATGTAAGGACTTTTCTTTAGTGGTATCTTTTACAAAGGCTCTGCATTTGGTCCTCATTAGCGTACATCTGGATTTTTTTCTCCACTGAGTTTAATGATTATCCATTTCCCCAACCCCAGAGTGCACAAATACACACACCCGCAACTGTCTGAAAGCAGGGACATATGATGCATATTGACAACTTTCATTAATCTGGTTTGGCTCTGTCTCTCCTCATTAGCAGAACATTAAATGAAGTGGGAACCTAAATGGATGGCAAGAATTAGATTATTTAATTCAAGGGTTCTTTGCTCCTTTAATCTACTCAATCTTGAAAGTTATCTTGGGACCAGAAGTCTTATTATGATGCACTGAATTAGTGTTATTACCAGAATTACACACTGAATCTTACCTGCAGGATTTTGGTTCACCCAATGAGCAGAGACTTGTAATATTCAATTTTGTCCTATGTAAAAATAATATTGGGGACCAAGGAGACTGCTTTTTACCAGGTTGGGTCATTGGTTCACCAAAAAATATTGTTTACTGGGAGTGTACCTTTAAGGGTTTTTTTTAAAATAAGGAAGTGGTTTCAGTATTATCTAGAGATGGCAAGGATTTAATTTGATCCTTCTGAATTTAAAGAATATGCCCAAATACTAAGTTATACTGTTTCTATAATGATAGATATATCAGCCAGGAAAAAAATCAAAAGCAAAACAACCTATGGAGGCAATATCTTTATTGTACTAACCAAAATTTAGTATTAATTGCAAGCTTTCAAGTTTCTTAAAAGTTCTAATAAAGTGAAATAGTTAAAAAGCAAGAAAATGAACATGAGATTTGGGGCTAATATATATTATTTGGCCTCTTATATGAAATAAGAGTCAACATCTTCAGAGAGCTATATCTTTACAAAACCCCTTGCTATAATTCAGAAACATTTTGCACCCTGCTGTATTGGACAACATCCAAATTGCATTCCTTGAGGCTGATAAAGATTTTTAAGAAACATGAAAACTTGCAGAGATGATAAAATATTGGTTGAGCAAATAAAGATATTCCCCTTGTGGGGTTTTGAGCAGGTCCTGCTTAAATTGCTTTTCATTGTGATTAATTTCTGTTTGCATGAAGATTTTTGAATGGAGGAGCAGTCAATAGTGTGATTAAAGAATAACTCTTAAAGGTTCTTGATTTTATGCTAAATATAGATCAACTCCAATTCTAGCATGAACATGACACTAACTGAAACCTCTGGATTTAATGTAGAAACAAATGATTGCAAACCATATACAGAAACCTAATTTAAAATGTTAAATTTCTATTAAAAAAGAACAAATTGGGGTTGGCTAGAAAGTGAGATTTAAAATGTCTTTCTAGTTGAGAGATCATGTAAGATGCAAGATTAAAGCATATCTTTTCACTAGTGGTACCTCAGTTGATGGAGCAAGAACTTCATTCAAACTTTAAAAAGCTGCAGTTCAAAGAAACTACAAAGTATCATTAGTAGAATAAAAGTGATGAACAGATGCATTTGGCAGGCTAGGCAGAAACAACCAGATCTGGCATCAAGTTTTCACAAGCATTATTAAAGATCTCCACTACACAATGACAAACAAAATACAAAGCACTTGAATTTTATCAACTGGCACAAAGCCGGACACAGTGCTTAAAATATCAATACACCAAGTTAAAAATAGCCTATCTCCTGTTTTCTTTCGCCATCTGGCTTGCTAAAAGACAACAGAATGCACAATTTATTCAAAGGACTTCTGTGACATGTTCACTAGCCCCAGGACAAAATGAGCTTTTCAATCTTCTGGGGCCAGATAATTTACAGACAGCAGTCCTTGTAGTATTTACTGATCAATCTGGCAAATGCAATTTATCTTATTCCTCATTTAGCTGTTTTAGAAAAGCTCAGTTGCTATGCAGATACCTAGCAGATAGCTAACCTTACTTCAAAAGGACCCAAATGTGCTTTTTCAAGAAGCAACTGGACTTTTCTGGTTTTTCTTTGAAGATGTTTCACTTCTCATCCAAGAAACGTCTTCAGCTTTAGGGAGGTATCATTTTGAGAATTATTAGTTCGCCTGGTGGGTGGAATGACGACTTCCAAACTACCTTCCTTTTCCTCTGTATCTGGAACATTGGGTGGCCCACAGGCAATTCTACGTTCCTAAATCTCATCAACAATCTCTCTGGATTTCCTCCTTCTTTCTTTTCTTTGCAGATTTGGACAAGCCCGTCCTTACTGTCCATCAAACTATCAGTGATGTCCGTGGGAGTTTTTATCATGAGAAAACAGTCTTCCTTCGATGCACAGTCAGCTCTAATCCACCTGCTCGCTTCATCTGGAGAAGGGGTTCCGAGACACTTTCCCACAGTCAGGATAATGGAGTAGATATCTATGAACCACTGTACACAGAGGTGAGATAGATGTTCTCGCTCCACATGCTTTTTGGACATTCAGGGGAACTTGGATTTTCTTGTGGCAACATATAGGTTTCAAGAATAGTATTGTAGTCACTGAGTCTTATCTCCGTGAACTTGTCTAATCCTGTTTTTAAAAACTTCCAGGTTCAATAGTTTAACTGCACATAGTGTGAAGAGATACAATCTTTTATCTTGAATCTCCTACTATTCAGTTTTATTGGATGATCCCAAGTTGTAATATGAGAGAGGAAATAACTAATGTATGTTAATTTCCTTTACATCATGCCCAATTTTATCTACTTAATCATCTCTACCTTTTTTCTGTTTAAAAACTAATGCAAATATGTATTTTTTTCATAGAGGGTTGTTTCTGCAACCTTGACCATTTTAATTATTCTTTTTCCCCACTTTCTGCAGCTTTACATGTAGAATTTCCACTACATGTGCACCATAGATTCTTATAAGGCTTCTGGTTTCTGATGAACCCCAATAAAGATTTTTTTAATGCAACATAAAAGCCACTGCTCTTTCTTTGATTGATTTACAATGGTATCAAGCAAAGATTCCTATAGTGCAGTACTTCAAATTACATAACTGTTTATGTGATGCTGTGTGGATGGATTATTTCAGTGTTTGTTTACCTAGAACTCTGTATGCTAATAATGCTTGATATGGGCATGTAAATCCTGAACTAAGTCAGGGGTGAAATCAACTTACCTTCGTTACTGGTTCACAAATGTGAGCCCAGGCGATACCTCCGTGCATATGCAGAGGGTCAAAAACAGGACCTAATGAGCCTCCGACCGCCACTGCTATTGGTTTGCCTGAACTGGATAGAACCAGCTGAATTGCACCACTGAACTAAGTCCTAAAACTGAATTAAGAGATGCTAAGATTGGAGGAAGAACTACAACAGTATAACATTAAAGAGAAGGAACGAGGTCAAGAAAGATATTAACTCAGCAAAGTTAACAGACATGATAAATGGGAGAGACAGAAAGGAATGAAAGAAAATGGGCAGATTTGACAAACCCTGTGTACAAGTTCAAAATTCACAGCCCAGCATTCTTGATACAGCTCTGCTGCCGAAAGAAATCAATTTCAAAGACACTCGATCTGTCTTTCTGTCTGTCTATCCATGTATAAAAGTTTGCTTTTGTTACTTTATATTATTTATGTCCATTTAAGGGATAAAAGCTTGTAGGTAAAAAAAATGTTTTTAAGAGACTTCTTGTTGTAAGAAACAGCTTGTTGAGTACTAAGGAAAAACTCCACATTGGTCTTTTTAAGTATAAGTATAATCTTTATTGTCATTGTACTTAAATGCAACGAAATTGGTTTTAACCTCACTGGTGCAAAATTATAGCAGAAATGAAAAAAGAAAAGAAAAACCTAGTGTATGCATGGAGTGATTGTGGTTGTATTTAAAAGTCTCACAGCCTAAGGATAGAAACTATCTTTAATCCTGTTTGTTCCACTGGCTATACTTTGATGTCTGCTACCTGATGGTAGAAGTGCAAAGAGACACTGACCAGGGTGTGAATCATTTCTGAGTATCTTCCTTACTCTGCTAAAGCAGCGAGATCTGGCGATGTCATTCAGTGGTGTCAGAGGGCAACCAATGGTTTCTTGTGCTGAATTTATCACTCTCTGTAGTGGCTTCCTGTCTGCAGCATACCATACTGTAACGCAATATGTGAGGGTGCTTTCTATGGTGGACTGATAGAAAGAGATCATCAGCCATTGTTCCATCTGACTCTAAAGGACTCTAAAGAAATGTGGTCTCTGTTTTGCAACCATAGCAGTTCAGACTATATGATTAATCTATGAAATCTTACAGCAGCAAGCTAAATTCTCCCCTCTCCTACCGCCCAGTGGATTGTCTATGCTTCATTAATGCTCTGCTTCAGTTTCTTGAAATTGATGACTGGCTTTTCTTGAGATTGTTCAAATACCTAGTGATGAAGTACTATTCAGAAACAATTTCCACAACGAATGTGTGTTTTTCTTTATTTTTCTCCTTCATAAATTCTCAAAACTTTCCATGTGCTGACTTTCTTGAATCACATGCTGACATTTTTTTCCTTGAAGTTTTATGAAATTGAGACTATATCACCAACAAAGGAGAATATTTGTAGCTCAGGATTGAAATGAGGAGGTCCTGGGTGCTGTCTGAGCTTGCTTGTTTTCTTGCAGATGTTTCATTACCCTTAACTAGGTAACATCTTCTGTGCTATATTCCTAAAAGCAATCTGGAAAATTAGCCCACACGTACACTCCAGCTCTACTTCACATGCAGGCTCATAGTTAATATTGCTGTTCTTGTGAAAGCAAGGGAAAGGAAGATGATTGTGAAGTTCCCAAGGGATGACCTAATTAATTAGGAGCCTCGAGACAAAGTTTAAAAAAAACTTTTTTTAAAAAAACTTCATTTATTAGGATCAATATCTTGGCATGATCTTCTGTGTAGCCGTAAATAGCTTCTGCTTAATTGAGTTTGAACTTTACCCCTCTATCTCCTCCCTTCTGTCATGCGTCATAAATCATACGAACTAGGTTGTAGAAATATGAGATCTGACTCTGGCCAAAGGTATGCATGGAATCCTCCTTCAAATGCCAACCTGATAATAGTCATAGCAACATTTTACAAGTTGACAATGATGTTGAATTAGTTGCATTCTGCACATCTGGCTACCAACTTCAGGCTAAGCTCTGTTTGGTTTCTGGCTGTATCTGATTTTGGCAACATGCCCTAGGCCACTGGTGTCACATTGCCATCACGTGACATTTTGCGACGTTTTCTCCCTTCGCAGATCTGAGGTGGGAGTAGCCTGCACATGACACATCTGGCCCACAGGCTGCCAGTTTAACACTCTGCCTTAGTCTTTCTCTCACTCAACTCATACCAAACCTGCCCTCTGCATGCAGAGAATTGTGCTATGAGATGAAACCCAGTGTCTTGGGTTACTGGGATTGAAGAGAGGAGATCCAAGATTTTTGTATTTCCAGAACAATATTCAAAAAGGGAAGTTATGTATCGTGCCTTGTGGAAGGGAGATGATTCTTAGATGAAAGTAAAGTAAGGCCTAAGGACAGGGGAGATATATGAATTCCTGCCCCAGTTCCTAGGTGAAAAGGAATGGGCGTAGGAATTTTCCAGTTCATTTTCATCTTTGTTATATGAAATCTGAAGCTTTAATTGATTTATCATGATAGATGTAAATAAAAGTACTCCTCAATTTATAACCATTCATTTAGTGAACATTCACAGTTACAATGGCACTGAAAAAAGTGACTTATGACATGACCTTGCACTTACGACTGTCACAGTATCCCCATGCTCATGTGATTAAAATTTGGATGTTTGACAACTAGCATGTGTTCATGCAATTGTAGCATCTTAGGGTCATGTGAACCCTATCTGTCGACTTCCCAGCCAGCTTCCAACAATCAGTAAACCAGATTAACAACCACATGATTCACTTAATAACCACAGTGAATTGGTTTATATAGCAAAAAGTCGTAAGATTGGGCATAACTGATTAAATCACCTCCTTGCTTAGCAAGGAAAGTTTTGGTCTCAATTCTGGTCATAAGTCAAGGTCTATGTGTATACTACAGACACATGTAGCTGCTCTGTAGAAAAACTCTATAGTTAATGAGAAATTTGATCCATAGATTGCATTCTGTTGTCCTTTCTCAATAATAAAGTTTTCTGCTTATTTCAGTGGTTTCTACTAATGGTCAGAGAGGGAACTGCAATTCTTGGCAAGATTAACCATAAAGCAAAATATTAATATTTTGAGATGCTAGAGCTGTTAATGATTGTGCTGGTGAGCATCTTGAATAAAAATAGTCTTTGATGTAGAGGGAACGTGTGATGTGTCTTTCCTTGATTGTAATCATTGGCACTGGACTATAAATAAATATCTAAAGTTTCCCCTTAGTGATGGCCCTGTTGGAAGGGGGTCTATGACAATTCACCATGGCCAACTCGCCATGGCCACCTCACTGCAGGACAATTCACCATGGCCATCTCACCATAGGACAACTTGCTGCAGAACAAGATTTACACTAATATCAAATAAATGGTGGAATACAATCAATGAAGAAAGGATGCAAAAAAAAAGGACAGAATGAAATGTGAATGGCAAAAATTAAAATTATTGTTACTTATTTTAAATAATTAAATAGAATTGTAAAATTGACCCACAGCAAGTTGGCTATGGCATTGTTCATGGTGAGTTGGTTATGGCAAGTTAGTTGCAGTGAGTTGGCCATGGTGTGTTGGCCAAAGCAAGTTGGCTATGGCAAGTCGTCCCATTCCCATTGCATGGATCCTACTCATTCTGAGAGCTGTTGCTTTACATGAGTCTAGAAAGCCCAGTCCCTTTGTCTTCTGTTGGTTGTAACATTGTAGTTGGCATAATTGTCTACCTTGCACCTGCTTTTCTGCCTTGCATCTGCTTCCTGCTTCAATTATTTTGTTGTCCTTACAGATTTTATTGATTAGTTGCTGGAAGGAAATATTATTTTTCTTATTTATTAGATGCCCATCCTATCATTCCTCTAAACAGCATATATAATATGCTTCTTTCACTTCTATCCTCAAAACAATCCCATGAAAAAGTTCAACTGAGAGACCCTAATTGGTCCAAACTACCCACAGGGACTCGATCCTAAATCTGCCCCTTCCCAATCCAGCAACCATTATATCACACTACCTCTTAAAATGACCTTTCTGGAAGGGAGAGTTATTTTATCATTGGAAAAAGCTTAATAACTGGCACATCACCAAAAATTGCAGCGCCATGAATAGTTTGCCCGATGCTAGTTGCAGAATGAGTTGGAGTGGATTTGTTGTTATTTTCTAGCGTACAGTCATAATCATTTTATATGCCAGTGATAGTCTAACACCTATTACATTCCTTTGACAAGCCAAAACTGGGCAGCTGAGAGAGGCGAAGCAAGTCTGAGATAACAACTTCTTGTCT